AAAGCCCCAGTAGATAGTTGTATGTCATAGTTGCACATCCTTCTAGTTGCTGTATGTGGGACGCGGCCTCAGCATGGCCGGAGAAGCCGTGCGTCAGTGCACGCCGGGATCCGCCCCAGGGCCCAACCGTGGCCGCCAGTAGCCGCCCGCTGGCACCTAGCCGCTAAGCCACGGGGCGGCCCCAAAACCCTACAGTTTAAAAAACCAGTGTGCTAGGGTTTGGGGCCCTGCAGACCCTGGTGCCCCAATTTCCGACCCACCGCAGTGGGGACCGCTCACCGTCTGCATCTCCCTCTTCTCCAGGGGAGGGACACGGCCGCCTTCGCTGCCAAGATGAGGAGTGGATTTTGGCCGGCGCTGCGGATGAACTGGCGAGTGTGGACCCCGGTGCAGTTTATAAACATCAACTATGTCCCTTTGCAGGTGAGGCCGGCCGGCACCGCGCAGAGCCAGAGGGGCTTCACCCTCCACCAAAGACCATTTCCCACCAGCCTTTTTTTTCTTGCAACAATCTGGTTTTCTCGAATCTCGGTGTCGCCCCACGTTCGGCACTCCTTCTGGGGCTTTCCTCGCCGTCCGGAATCCTTAACAGTTCTGGATTCGGAGCGGGTCTCCCAAGCGGTGCCCACGCTTCATCCATGGATCCCGCAAACGTTTACAAAAGCCCCCCGTCCAGGGACAGCGCTCGGGGTCTCTGGTGACGAAGCGTTCCCACTGCCCGCGCAGCTGCCCAGGGGCGGCCTCACCTGCAGTGACGTCAGAGGCGCACCTGAGCGGCGGGTGGGAGGGGCCCCGAGGGGCGGGGCGGCCCCGGAACGAAGTGCCAAGAGAACGCGCCCTGCGGGGCTGTGAGTGATGGGCGCTCCCTCCGGGGGCATCGGCGGCGGCCGGCCAGGAGGTGGAGGGACCAGGACAGTGGGAGCCGGGAGGGTCTGAGCAGGAAGCAGCCGCCGGGCCCCCTGCAGAGCGGGCGCAGCTGGCCGGCCAGGCGGCTGCACCGATGAGGACCGCGCGCCACGCCAGCGAGGGAGGCCGGCGCTCCCGTCTGTGGCCCGGCCCCACCATTGTCCAACCTTTACACACCCTGCACGGCCCATCTGTGTCGGGCGCCCAAGACCACTCCCAGGGTTGGAGATTTGCTAGAAGGGCTCACTGCCGAGATTTGTTACAGCCATGCAGCAGGGATGTACAACTGGATCCTAGGAATCCCGCGCAGGCTTCCTGTGCGCCCTCCCTCCATGAGGGTCACACAGAGCAAGCTCTCACCCACCAACAAAATGCAGCAACACGTGGTCCATGTTACTGCCCAGGGAAGCCCATTGGAGACCCAGCGACCAGGGTGTTTATTGGGGGCTGGTCACGGAGGCAGCTCTGCCTGGCACATACCCAAATTCCAGACTCCCGGGAGATTCCAGACTCCCCGGAGAGCAGGTGTTCAACGTAAACCACTTTGTCTTTGCAAGCAGTCTAGGCACAGGGAGCCATTCTTATCAGCTGGGGAAGATGGCAACACTACCCGGCCTCTCCTAGGACAGCAGCCTCTGGCCTGCACGTTAACCCTTTTCTGCACACCATCTAAGTAACCTGCTTGAGACTAGCTCATAAAGGCTGGTTCCACCCCTGCCTGAGAGAGAGGAGAGAAAGAGACCTGGGCACAACCCCTTGGGAAACAGCTATATTGGAAGGATGGGAAGAGGGCAGGAGGTGCCAGCTTTGTAGACACACACACACACACACACACACACACACCAGGAAGGAGCAGGAAGCCAGGAGAAGGCACAACAGACACTGCAGCAGATGTTGCAGGGAGTTAAAGCAAAATGAAAATCAGTTTCCATTGGCTTTAAGGATGACCCTTATCAATGACCTTCCCCAGAGCAATTTCAGTGGTGGGATGGGGCTGGAAGCCAGATTGCTGTGAATTGAGGAGTGGGTGGGGAAGTAGAAAAGAAATTGCAAGTCTAGAAAATTCTCTCAAGAAGTTTGTGAAGAGGTGGGGACAAAGGACAGTTAGAAGAGGGCCAGGGGAGGGGCCGGCCCCGTGGCTTAGCAGTTAAGTGCGCGCGCTCCGCTACTGGCAGCCCGAGTTCGGATCCCGGGCGCACAGACACACCGCTTGTCCAGCCATGCTGAGGCGGCGTCCCACATACAGCACTAGAAAGATGTGCAACTATGACATACAACTATCTACTGGGGCTTTGGGGAGAAAAAGGGAAAAAAAGGAGGAGGACTGGCAATAGATGTTAGCTCAGTGCCTGTCTTCCTCGGCAAAAAGAGGAGGATTGGCATGGATGTTAGCTCAGGGCTGATCTTCCTCACAAAAAAAAGAAGAAGAGGGCCAGGGGAGAAGGCTTTGAAGCTGTGTTATATGCACAATGCAGATGCGCACATGCTCACCCTAAGGACGGGAGGGATGGGATTGGGATAGGCAGAGAGGCGCTTTAGACAGAGGGCCCTTCTTCCCTATGACAAGAGAGGGGAGATGACTGTTTACTGGGGACTTCCCGTTCACCCCTTCTCTTTCCTCTGGGAGGACAGAGGGCAGATCAGGCTGGACTGAGGGGAGAGGCTGAGGGATGGGTATTTTGAGGGGCGTAAAGGAAGGGTAAATTTGTGATGAACGGGAGAGGGAGCTGACTGGAGACCCTCCTGCATGGGCCTGGGCTTGGGGGAGGTGAGACGGCAGGGATGAACGAGGTTTTTCCAGGGAGCGCAACTGAGGGACAGGAAGGTCAGGGAACTACCGCTATGGGGCGTGGATTCTGAGATACACAGAGAAGGAATAACAACGTGAGGAATGGCTGAGGATGGGGAGAGGCTGAAAAACGGAACTCTTGTGAGTGGTTTAGGGACAGCTGCAAGGTTGTAGTCCGAGTTTCCATTTTAGGCGGTTGCAGGTGAGTGCTTAAGGGACAGTGGAATTTAGTCAACAAATATTTATTGAGCACCTACTGTATGCCCCACTGCTCTGGACACTGGGAATACAGTGATTAACGAGATAGACCAGACTGCTACTTTCGCGGAGCTTATGTGCCGCGGAGACTCAGTAACTGACTAAAGGTCATGTCAGGTGGGGGTACGTCTGTCAGATCATTGAAGCATGGTAATGGGACAGTGACACGTTAGAGTGAAGAGCAGGGCATGGGCGTGTCAGGGAAGGTCTGGGTAAAGCCACCCGCACAACCGCGGGCCCTGGGGTGAGAGGCTAAGCCAGGAGCTAACGTGCTCAGTAGAGGAAGGTAAGGGACAGTTACTGTTTTACCTCCTCGCCTGTAAACATCAGGCAGCAGCTGTTTGTCCTCCTCACCCTTCTCTGCTGGGGGCCGAGCACAGTGCTTGTACACAGTAAAGGCTCAGTAAATACAATAGTGGGTGGGCGCACCGCCCAACGAATGAACTCTGTCCGGGGGGCCAGTGCCTGATAAGTGCGGTCAGGGCCTTACACTTACACGGCCTGTCTGTGTTCTTTGGCAGTTCCGGGTGCTTTTTGCCAACGTGGTGGCTCTGTTCTGGTATGCCTACCTGGCCTCTCTGGGGAAGTGAAGATGGCCTGGAGAGAATGTCAGACGCACTGCTGACACAGGTCCGGGGGAAACGCTCATCTGCCCAGGGTGAGAGGAGAAACAACCCAGCCCGGACTCTATTTGACTCTAGATCATGTGATTCAAGATGCTCTAAAATGATGGAGAAATAGAAACCTATTAATGTCAGAATCTTGTGTTTTAAAAAGGCAATAGCTGTCTTCAGGTGTTGCTGCCCTAGAAACTTAACACACAGTAGAGATGATTTCACTTGTCACCTTGGATTGAATTAGGATCACAATAAAATTTAAAGTAGCTTTTTCAGTGGTGATTTTCTCAGAACGATTGTTGTTTCTTTGTAAAAAATGTGTGGCCAGAGGGCTGCCCTCAGATTTTTTTTCTTTTTTTAAAATTGTGGTAAAATGTACAGTGCTACTGCTTAGCTACCTGGCGGCATAGGAAAAAGGGCCTTTTAGACCACGATGTTCCTCTGGCGTTCTGAGAGGCCCTATGATGAATATATGCCACGCTTCCTGCTGATTTCTTTCTGCTCTCCTATTGCTCATTGACATTAACCCTCCCCGCCCCACCTTCTCGCTCGTAGAACACTCCTTCCTGGTAGTATCCCATCCTTGTTTCACAGATGCCATATCCCTTGGGATCTTAATTATATATTTTTTGGAATTTTCTTCTGTCCCATATGCTGTTTCTATTTTCTCAGTGTTCATTTGTTTGTTTGTTTTCTTGTTTGTTTGTTTGGATCTTTGTCTTTCAAGATTTCCTCAAATGTCTGTTGATCCTTGATTGTGCAGCATTGTTGGAGAGTCACAGCCACTCAGGCATTCTCTGAAGCTTAGTGTATGTGGGCTGCACTTGTCAAATGGTACCCTCACTGTGGGCTGGCCAGTCATGACCCAGTTCTGTTGGGGATCAGGCATTCTTAATGACTGAGGCCTGTTCTCTTGGGCTGGTCAGTTTCCCCAGAGAGGAATCCTTTAATTTCTTGCCTGGAGGGAAGTATGTTGGTTGTGGTGGAGCATGGTATAAGCCTTGTGGCCAACGTTCCGTGGCTAACTGTAGGAAAGGGGTTAGAGGTCCCACCATTAGTATGTGAACTTCATATGATCTCATCTTTATTACTGCATCCCAATCTCGGCTGTCTGGTGTTCCCAAACCCAGAGTCCTTCTGGTTAAAATCCTCTGGAATGAAATTTCTCTAGTTTCCTGCCATGAAGGAGATGAGGTTTTCACCTGAATGTACAGGAGATGGAGGGCGTGTAGAGGGCAACCTCTTAGAGATTTTTAATCAGTCCTCCTGTATTTAACCCCACCCACCGTCCTCAGAGGTGGAGCTAGTGCCTGTAACTCCCCAGACTCTTCTAGACTCTCTGGACTAAATGATCTTGTTTCTTGGCTTCCCTCAATGCAGGCAACTGATGTTCCATCTTCTCAGGACAATAATAATCTGATTTCCAGATTCCAGAATTTTGTCAACTGTTCTTTTTGTTTCTTCTTGTGGACTCAAGTATGTCCTTGTGGATTTGTCTTTTCTTTTCCTTTTAAAATCTTTGTAAATCTTCCTTTTAAAATCTTACCCGGTGGCGTAGTGGTTAAGTTCACACACTCCACTTCGGCGGCCCAGGGTTTGCAGGTTCGGATCTCGGGCGCGGACCAACGCACTGCTCATCCAGCCATGCTGTGGCAGTATCCCATATACAAAAAAGAGGAAGATGGGCACAGATGTTAGCTCAGAGCTAATCTTCCTCAGCAAAAAGAGGAGGATTGGTGATGAATGCTAGCTCAGAGCCAGTCTTCCTCTCACACACACAAAAATAATAAATAAAATAAAAATTTAAATCTTTTTATTATCGTTTCAGTAAGTGACCTCCTAGAAGAAGGAGACATAAATGTTTAGGTTCAAGACATCATGTTTAAGCAGAGTTCTGGGTTTTTCTGTGGAATAGATTCAATCTCCAAAATCCAGAGTGATTTTTTAAAGATGTAAATCACATCATGTCAATTCCCAACTTAAAAACCTGCAAAGATGATCTAGCAATTCCATTTGTGGATATACACCCAAAAGAATTAAAAACAGGGACTTGAAAAGATATTTGCATACCCATGTTCAGAACAGCATTATTCATAAAAGCCATAAGGTGGAAGCAACCCAAGTGTATTCAGCCATAAAAAGGAAGGAGATTCTGATACATGCTACAACATGGAAGAACCTTGAAGACAGTATGCTGAGTGAAATATACCAGTCCCAAAAGGACAAATACTGTCTGATTTCAATCATATGAAGTCCCTGGAATAGTCTAATTCAGAGACAGCAGAATGGTGGTCACTAGGGTCTGACGGAGGGGAAATGAGTTAACAGTGAGAGACAGAGTTTCAGTTTGGGAAGATGATCAAGTTCTGGAGCTGGACAGTGGTGATGGTTGCATGACAATGTGAATGTACTTAATGCCACAAAACTGTACACTTAGGGCTGGCCCAGTGGCACAAGTGATTGGGTGTTTGCGCTCTGCTGCTGCAGCCGGGGGTTCGCCAGTTCGGATCCTGGGCACGCACTGACGCACTGCTTGGCAAGCCATGATGTGGCAGTGTCGCACATAAAGTGGAGGAAGATGGGCACGGATGTTAGCCCAGGGCCAGTCTTGTTCAACAAAAAAAAGAGGAGGGGGCCAGCCTGGTGGCTTAGCAGTTAAGTGCACGTGCTCCGAGACTGGCGGCCCTGGTTCAGATCCCAGCGTGCACCGACGCACCGCTTCTCCGGCTATGCCCAGGCCGCGTCCCACATACAGCAACTAGAAGGATGTGCAGCTATGACATACAACTATCTACTGGGGCTTTGGGGTTAACAAAGGAGGAGGATTGGCAATAGATGTTAGCTCAGAGCTGGTCTTCCTCAGCAAAAAGAGGAGGATTGGCAGATGTTAGCACAGGGCTGATCTCCTCACAAACAAACAAACAAAAAAAGAAACTGTACACTTAAAATGGTTAAGATGGTACATTTTACGTTATGTGTATTTTGCCACACACAGTAAAAACAAGAAAAAATCCTGTCCCATGTCCCACAACCTCAATCCTTCCCTGGACCTAGAATCCCAAGCTCTCATCTGCAAGGCCCGCCTCCCACCCCCCACCCTGCTGCAGCTCCTCGGCCCTGAAGCGCGGGTGCCCCAGGGCGCCTTCGCAGGCCCGCGCCGCCGGTCCCGCCCGCCCCCTGCGCGCGCAGGTGCGCCGTCGTGCCCCCGAAGGCGGCTCCACGGGGCAGCGGCGTGCGAACACTTCGCTGGCAGGCAAGAATAACTCCGCCCCGCGAGTGCTCCCGCCCGCACCACCACGCCCCCGCGTCTCTGTTCCCGGAAGTCTCTGGGGCCGCCGGCGATCCCCACGGGCCCCGCGCCACCCATCGGCCGGAAGCGGACGCCCGAGGAAGCGTGTCCCTCGCGGCGCGCCGTCGGCGCCGGAGAGCGCCTGCGCGGGGCCGGCGCGGGAGGGCCGGTATGGCGTTCCGGCAGGTGCTGCAGTTGGCCGCCTGCGGCCTGGCGGGCGGCTCGGCCGCTGTGCTGTTTTCGGCTGTTGCGGTGGGAAAGCCTCGCGCGGGCGGGGACGCGGAGCCGCGCGTGGTCGAGCCGCCAGCGTGGGCAGGGGCCGCGCGCCCCGGGCCCGGCGTCTGGGACCCCAACTGGGACAGGTGCGGGGCCGGCGGGTGGGGGCCGGCCTCCGTGCCCTCCGTTCGGGCCGACGTGGTCGGCGAGGCAGAGGGGCGGGCGAGGCAGGCTGCGGGCGGGTTTCTTTTTCGGTTTTGGCCGCAAGACGAGCTGCGATGTGGGCGTCCCTCGACCCCTTAGCCTCAGCTCCCGGTCTGTCCCATGTTCCACCGACCCCTCCTCTGAGCCTCGGCTCCCCTCTGTCCCATGTCCCACCGACCCGTCCTCTGAGCCTCGGCTCCCCTCTGTCCCATGTCCCACTCCCCCCTCCTCTGAGCCTCAGCTCCCGTCTGTCCCATGGCCCCCCC